CGAGACTGCGACCACACAAAAGGCCACACCATCTTGGTCTTCATACCTTCAATAGAATGATTCATATTTTACTATAAGCCAAAGTTTCTTATTGGCTCATTGGTTTTTTAAGAACCCAAATAATCTGTATGGAAGAAGGCTTCGTCCCGACAGCAATTTTCGTCCCATCTTTTGTGCCGGAAGCATGTCCAAACCCAAGGTCAGCAGCGTCTTCGGCCTTGTTTTGGCGTTATAACTTTACTAGCGGGAGTCGAACCAGGGACTTGCTGGTCTTCAGAATCATTTAGTACTGATAATACCTCGTGAAGAAACTAGCTTACCTCAAATATCGGAATGATAATGCTGAAATTATAAATGAATTTAATTCAAATGATTAACATTTAAGCCTCAACAATAGTGCATATGAGCCCCGACACGAATCATTATTAGAGCCCTAGAAACAGCATTCACTAATCGGTCTTCGTACCTTTCATTCCCTATGATGAATTACATAGAGGAAATTAGTGGTTTGATCTCTCAGAAGTATATTGTTAAGTTTTCTTGGAATGACTGATTAAACTTGAATGAGCTGTCCTCTTACCTTGTCAGTAACATGTTGGATTGGTATGGACTATTTTCTAGGACTGACCTCTTATTCAACGCTAGTATAGAGAACTATTCGAACTCTACTCCTCATTCGATTTAGGTTCTTAGGGAGTGTTTTAAAAGCATAAATGTATAAACACATGACGGTTAAAGCACGTTCTCTAACCAATTTATGGTGGAGCTGTCCTACGAATCTCTTATTCGGCCATCCTCATACCAGAGGAGATCGACAAGAATACTTCAACTTTGAAGTATTTATCTAATTCCGGCATAAACGATATATATTTTTTCTTCGAATAATTCAAATATGATTGAAGTTTTTCTTTTTTAAAGGCTTCTCTTCGTAACATAACAAATTGCTTACCAGGCCTTTTTTTCATATGCATTCTACTTTTTTCTAAATCCTGCAACGAAAGAGCCCTTTGAATTTATCTAGGCGCCAATTCATGTATTTATTTTATCCATATGCTTAGCTTCTCTCTCGAATTTATTATAGTAATGCTCTTATTTTCATTTAATCGCTTCACCATCTTATCCTCCTTTCTCTCATTCTTACTTCTTTCCCTTTTCTCATTTATTCAGTCAACGTTGAGGAGCTTGCTTGTTTTCGATTCACGCCTCCCGACTTCACCGGTTCTCGCCTGGACGGCTGGGACTGGTTCAACCTCGAATCGCAGTTTCATCGAATGGGCGTTCCAAATTCAAGTTGGCAGCTGACCAACATCAACAAGGACTACGCGGTAGCTGGTTCTCATTTTAATTCGAACTATATTATACAACTATACATTTTTTTATTTTGTTAGAACAATGCTCTACTGAACAATCAAGACCAGTGTTGGGCCAATTTTAAAAGAAGAAAAGTTGAGGTTTGGATAAATACTTTTAGTTTACGGAATTCTTAAGCTTTTGAGATTTTTTCTGCCCTTGAAGCTGTGGGCAACTTCATCGCTTAGTGCTTGATAGTTCTCGGATTGGTATCTTTTGATCACGCCTAAGTCGAGTAGGGAGCGAAGTTCTTCACACTATGATTGCTGACTTGAGCCAAACAGAGAAACACTTACGTAGATGTGGACTTCGTTACGTTTAGAAATTTGTGTGTAAGGGCTTAATACGAAAACTAAGTTAGATTGAATTGTAGTCTTGATTGCTAATTTGAGCCCAGAGGCCTTCAATGTGCTGTCCTGCGATCCCAATTATCAGTGCGGAGCTTACGTCTGTCCTGTTATGACATCTTCAGAATGCGAAACTTCTCTATAATGATTCAAGAAGCAAAGTCCAAAACAGTAGCCTGCCACTATCATACATATTTCTTATAACTTACTTTTTCAAACCTAATTAGACTTATCACAATTTGCTCAGATAATCCATGCTGCAGATGAGTTAAGCTGGTGCGTAAAATTGGTGCTCGTGCTTCCGGACACCCGTTCCTTTCATATTTGCGAAAAAATTGTCAGAAATTAATTTTTTCTTTATTATTTGAAAATGTATTTGATTGTGCCTTTTGAAAAACGTAACCTTATAACCTTGTATAAATTGAGTGCCTTTGCTATAACGATTAGCCAATTGACTAGAAGCAGTACCTCTGTAGCACTTGATTTCGTTATTCATTTCGCATATTTACTATTGTTTTGATGAAACCACATTTAAGCAGATCCTAGAATTGTCATCAACTTAGCTTCTAGTAATAAAAACTCTGAATAATAACAAAAGGGCTCACCTCAAGTTTTTGAATTTGGAAGAAGAAATATGCACAATTCTGCTAGGCTTTATTCTTATCTCATTATAATTAGAGAAATAGTTGCCACGAGTATTAAGCTTATTCGGCAATAGACAGAGGATCTTGTGGCCTCTGTATTCCTTATGCCCTCTGGCCTCAGGTTGCCTTTGATGTTAAGTCCTTCTTCTATATGCCCTCCGGATAGAGAACTTTATTTTGCTTTACTATTAAAGCACTTACTGACATCTCTTTGTAAAACCTAA